TATTTTTTTAGTAGAGACGGGGTCTCGCTCTTGCTCAGGCTGGTCTCGAACTCCTGAGCTCAGAACGATCCGCCCGCCTCAGCCTCCCAGAGTGCTAGGATTACAGGCGTGAGCCACCGCGCCCAGCCTAAAATCCAAAACTTTTGAGTGTTGACATACCACTCAAAGAAAGTGCTCAGTGGAGCGTTTCAGATTCACATTTTTGATTTTGGATGTTCAGCCAGTAAGTATGTAATGCAAATATTCCAAAATCTGAAAAAATCCACGATCCAGAACACTTCTGGCCCCAAGCATTTCAGATAAGGGATACTCAACCTGGTATTATCACACCTACATATATTATCAGTAATTCCTCTGTATCCAATCAACAGATCAACAGTCTCATTTTCCCCATTTTTTCAATTTTTTAAAGTTTATTCAAATCAATACCCAAATAAGATCCAATCACTGCAAATGAGTATGACTACTCTTTTAATTATATCTATTTTCAGTTCTTCTTCTAATTACCCTGTCTTAATCAGTTTGGGCTACCATAACAAAACACCATCGAATGGGTGGTTTATACAACATAAATTTATTTTCTTATAGTTCTGAAGGCTAGAAGTCCAAGACCAAGGTGCCAGTGGGGTTGGCTTCTGGTGAGGCATGTCGTCTTGGCTTGTAGAGGGCTCCTTACTGTGTCCTCATGTGGCCCTTTCTCCATGTGTACACTCAGAAAGAGAGCAAGCTCTCGTATCTCTTCCTCTTCTCGTACGGACACCAGTCCTTTCAGATTAAGGCCCCACCTTTATGACTTCATTTAAGCTTAATTATCTCATTAAAGGCCCAATTCCAAATACCGTCACATTGAGGGTTAGGACTTTAACATATGAATTTTGGGGGGAGCACAGTTCAGTCTATAACATTTAAATTTTCTAGTTCTTCTTGAATCAGTTATAGGTAGTATGTGTCTTTCTAAAAATTTATTCATTTCATCTAGGTTATCTAATTTGTTGGCATATAGTTCATATCATTCCCTTATAATCCTTTTTATTTCTGTAAGCTTGGTAGTAGTGACCCTTCATTCATTGTTGATTTTACTACTTTCAATCTTCCCTCTTTTTTCCTTGGTCATTCTAGTACAGGTTTGTCAGTTGTATTTTGTTTCTCTGTTTCTCTCCTGCTGCATTCTTTTGTGTTAAATAGATAATTTCTACTGTACCATTTTAATTCACTTGTTGCTTCCTTTAGTATGTGTCTTTAATTTTTTTTAAATTTTTATTTATTCAGTTTTTTTTTTTTTTTTTGAGGAGAAGGAAAGAGTAGTTTATTAATTTGCTGGCAAATGAGGAGGTTGGCATACTCCCATCTCAAAGTACCAATGTCCTGCCTCTGAGCAGAATTACAGAGCTTATAAAAGTTCTGATTAATCCCATAATCCTATCTTTGTCTGCTGGCATTCATTCATCTGAAATCTGCCTTTGTTTCCTTCTCACTTTTGAAGGATTTTTGCTCGATATACAATTCTGCTTTAAAAATTTCATTTTCTGTTAATATTTTAAAGATGCCATTTCATTATCTTCTGGCCTCCATTGTTTCATTTCTTTTCTTTTTTAGTTTTATTTTATTATGATGAGGACATTTAATATGTCCTCTTGTTAAGATCTATTGTCTTAACAAATTTTTCAGTGTAATACATTGTTTGTTGGCAGTAGGTACAATGTTGTACAGCAGATCTCTATAGCTTATCCATCTTGCTTTACTAAAACTTTATACCTACTGATTAGTAACTCCCATTTCCCCCTCCCTCCAGCCCCTAGCAACCACCATCCCACTCTTTGATTTTTTATAAATTTGACTATTTTACATACTTCACATAAGTGGAAGCACACAGTATTTGTCTTTCTGTGACTAGTTTATTTCTCTTAGCATAGTGTTCTTAATTTATCCATGTTATTACATATTGCACTTTCCATCTTTTTTGAAGCTGAATAATACTCCATTGTATGTATACACCACACTTTCTTTATCTATTCCTCTCCCAATGGACATTTAGGTTGTTTCCACATCTTGGTTATTTTGACTAATGATGCAGTGAACATGGGAATGCTAATATTTCTTTGAGATCCTGATTTCAATTGTTTTAGATAAATACACAGAAGTAGCATTGCTAGCTCATATGGTGGATATGTTTTTAATTTTTTGAGGAACCTCTAGACTCCAAATTATTGCTAATGAAAAGTCAGCAATAATTTTATATTTGTTTCCTTGTAGTTAATGTACCCTTTTCTCTGTTTTTGAGATAGCTTCTTTTTTTTTTTTTTTCAGAATATTATGGGGGTATAAATGTTTAGGTTATATATATTGCCTTTGCACCATCTGAGTCAGAGCTACACATGTACCCAAACCTCCAGACAGTGTACACCTCACCCATTAGGTGTGAATATACCCATCCCCTCCTCCCCCCACCACCTGCCTGACACCCAATGAATGTCACTTCCGTGTGTGCATGTAAGTGTTGCTCAATTAGTACCACTTTGATGGTGAATATATGTGATGCTTGTTTTTCCATTCTTGTGATACTTCACTTTGGAGAATGGGCTCCAGCTCCATCTAGGATAGTACAAGAGGTGTTAGTTCACCATTCTTATCTTTTGTTTTTATCATCTTAACTGTGGTGTACCTATATATGGTTGTCTTTGCATCTGTCCTGGTTGGCATTTATTGGGTGCCAATATTTTTTGTCAAATTTGGGGAATTTCTTACCGTTACTATTTTTGGTCCCAATCTTTCTTCTCTTTCTGGGACTGAGTGTGTGTGTGTGTGTGTGTGTGTGTGTGTTAGACTTTTATATCATCTCACGGGTCCTTGATGCTCTGCTCATTTTTTCTTCAGTCTTTTTTCTTTGTGTTCTTCGGATTGGATACTTTTTATTGGTCTCCAAGTTCTCTGATTCTTTATTTTGCCATCTTCAGTCTGCTATTAAGCCTATCCATTGAGGTTTCATTCAGTTAGATTGTACTTTTCAGTTCTAGAATTTGTTTTTGTTTCTTATTCCAGTTCTGTTTCTCTGTTAAGATTTATTATATGTTTATTCATTTAGCCCATATTTGCTTTTTATTCTTTGTATGTATTTCCTTTAGATCTTTGCATATATTTATAATAGCTGTTTTAAAATGTTTGTGTGCTTAATTGACCATCTTGGGGTTGGTTTCGGTTGCCGGGGGGTAGGGGGTCATAGTTTCCTGTTTCTCTCTAGTAATTTTTGATTGTATGTTTTTCATTATTGATATGCTTTAAATAACTTTAGATTCTATTAGTTTTTGCTGAAGAAGGTTTATTTAGGTTTTAGCAGGCAATTTCATGGTTGAACACCCTGAGCTTGTATAGTCTTGACTTTTCATTATATTAAGATAGATCTGTGGAAATCCTAAAATATTTACCAGTCCCTTCTAATTTGGCAGTACTCAGTGTCCAAATCTGTTTTGCCTGCAGATTTTGTAAGGACTTTGTTTTGGCTTTGCTATAGGGCTTATTAATGAGGTGTTAATAAGGTCTCTCCACTTTGATTGGTCCAGACCACCAGTATCCCCCAACATTGTTTGATTTCTGTTAGCTCTGTTCTGTTCTCAACTCTGTAATAGCTGTTCTATGTTAAGCCTCATCTAGTCTCACTTTGTTAATGTGTCCCTGGTTCTGGTGTAAGGGCTGAAAGTCTTAACAGTCTTCAGGTGCCCCTCTGTTCCGTTTCCTGACCCCAGACTCCAGGCCTCACCAAACTCTTTATCTCTAAGTTCTCAGCCAAATGAGGCCACTGTAAATTTAGTGGGTCACCAGGCAGAGAGCCTGGGACATTTTGGGCTTACCTCTTGAGTTTCCCTCTAGGTATCTCAGTATTGCACTGCCTGTTTCTTAGTACCTGAAAAGTTACTTCATTTTTTGTTGTCTAGTTTCATGGTTAGTTGTCATAAAAGGGCTTGTTTGGTACCAGTTATTTCATCGTAGCCAGGTGCAGAAATTCTCATCTTTATTTGTTTAACCTAAAAAAAAATCCTTAACTTTATGAAATACTTTTCTATTTCCTAGTGGAAAACAACCATTAGGATAATTAACAAATGATTTAAAACTTGTATCTTGCACAGAACATATTTTGATAGCAAATTTTATGCCTTAGACATACAAAATTGATATTTGGCAAAAGAAATGTGAAACATACTCTCATTTCTAGATGGCTTAATGGTACAAATAACTCCAGAGACCATGGATGGCTTGCGGCTAGCTCTACGAGAGCAAAAAGACTTTAAAATTACATGCGGGAAAGTCGATGCAGTGGACCTGAGAGAATATGTGGATATCTGTTGGGTAGATTCTGAAGAAAAAGGAAACAATGGGTAGGAATTTTTCATTACTAAAATGTAATTGATTTGATGGAGGGGGAAGGATAAAAACATCGTGTTAATAAAATTAAATATTTTATGAATGAATATAGACTTACATCATTAATTTAAAGGCTTATACCTATGCCCCAATTAAGGAATGCAATCTTTTTTTTCAAACATGTACCTAACCAGCCTCATAAGTGGTTTTTTTAGGCCAGGATGCTATAAATTATTAAAGGGTGTCCATTTGGGAGTGAGGACCAGTGACGAAATATCCATTATGTAACAGCGTGGGCTTGATGCCAGGGCTGAGAAAGGCAAGACACTTTTTCTGTTATTTGGTACCTATTTTTATCAAGTAATTAAAGGATTCTTTTTGGATGATATACTATATTGTTTTGATTCACTATAAATATGAACAACTAGATTTAATAATATATGTACATTAGAGGCCATAGAGATTATTACTACCACTCATTCCTCTCTTCAGTTACCCATTTTTTTTCTTATTTGGAGATTGGCTAAGGGGTCTGGAGCAAAGAAGGAAGAAGAGGGCTAATGCTGAAGGATTCTAAAATAGAGTTTTTGAGTTCATGAGACAGCTTTTCTGTTAAGAGACTATCTAAAGTACTTTAAACCTCAGGTCTGAATTAGGCATATGAAAAAGGAGATATAATTTACTGATGTTGCCTCCTAACAGGCTCTGAAAAAAATAATTTATTGATAAAAAAAGATTACTACACAATCAAGAAATCTTGGTAAATGAATATGAACTATGGATTTAATAATTTTGTATATAATTATATATAATATCTTGTAGTTGCTTTAAATTTAGAGTTTTTGTAAATTTTTCTCCTCATTTTATTTGTTCAAATCTAATAATTCATTTCACATAAACATTTTGATACTAATAATCCTATTATATTATGTTTATTTGGTAGTGTTATCAGTTCAGTGGATGGAATATCATTACAAGGATTTCCAAGTGAAAAAATAAAACTGGAAGCAGATTTTGAAACTGATGAGAAGATTGTAAAGTGTACTCAGGTAACTGAGAAAGAAAGTCCCTTCTCTATATATGCTATGTTTTGATATGGTTTTTGTTTTTTGAACTTGGAGACTGTACATACTTAACCTCTGAATATTTAAGCATAGCTTATTACACTTTGAGATACACACATTTCTACCCCAGACCTTTTTTTTTTTTTTTTTTTTTTGCAGCCCAACTTCAGGTCTTTTTTATTTCAAAATATTAAGGGAGTACAAATGTTTTCAGTTACATGGATCACTTTTGTAATGCTTGAGTCACAGCCATAAATGTGCCCATCACCCAAACAGTGTTCACTGTACCTGTTAGGTAGGTTTTTGCCCATTCCCTCTTCCTCCTGCCCCCTGCTTGATTTCCACTGAGTTTTACTTCCCCCTAGACTGCCTTTTATGCACCAGATTTGGATTTCCATAGGCTTAGTGCAGGTCCTATGGTGGTACTGCCTGCCAGCTAACAGTTAAGTTTTGGCAGCACTGACATATTTCTACTAAAATATGTCATTTGCCTATATTATCATCATTTTCCTCTTATTTTATAAAAAATAAAATTATTTTGTAATTATAATCAATATTCACATATGAAAGTTATTTTTGCATGTTCCAATTTTTTTGAAAAATAAGAGAATAGAAACTAGACTCCCCAATCCCTTAGTCCTGCGATCTACAATCTCTCCTACCCCCTTAACCCCCCCACCCCGCCCACAGACCAGTTAGGAACCAGGCGTCACAGCATGAGGTAAGTGACTGGTGAGCAAGCAAGCCAGCAAGCAGTGAGTGAAGCTTCATCTGTATTTACAGCCACTCCCCACCACTTACATCACTGTCTGAGCTCCGCCTACTGTCAGATCAGCACCAGCATTAGATTCTCACAGGAGCATGAACCTTACTGTAAACTGTATGTGCAAGGTATCTAAGTTGCATGCTCCTTATGAGAATCCAGTGCTTCATATCTGAGGTGGAGCTGAGGTGATGGTAGTGCTGGGGAGTGGCTGCAAATACACGTTATCATTAGCAGACAGGTTTGACTACACAATAAATGTCATGTGCTTGAACCATCCTCCCCAACCACCCCCTGTCCATGGAAAAATTGTCTTCCATAAAACCAGTCTCTGATGCCAAAAAGGTTGGGGACTACTGCCTTAGTCTCTTTATTCCTCCTCATGTTCATTTCTTATATATTCTTTGTGATTTTATGCATGTACAAGATAAAATTATAGAGAATATAGAAACTATAGAATATTATTTATCTTTGTATAGATGTCCTTATAGGATGAATTCATTA